TGCGTCTTTCCCAAAAAGACTCATGGCTGTATTCGATCAAAAGGGTGCTTCTACTAAATACTGAGCAAAGGGTCTGAATACTTAGGACCATGTGATATTTCAGTTTTTCTTTTTTAATAAATCTGCAAAAATGTCAACAATTCTGTGTTTTTCTGTCAATATGGGGTGCTGTGTGTACATTAATGAGGAAAAAAAATTAACTTAAATGATTTTAGCAAATGGCTGCAATATAACAAAGAGTGTAAAATTTAAGGGGGTCTGAATACTTTCCGTACCCACTGTATATCGAAATCCTCCGACCTGCTTCTTTACAAATCCTCGTTTTGTACTTCTAATTCGTGACCGTTGTTTTGTTTTGATCTCTCCCCTTCGCTTCCATGTGCGTCACTTCTGAGCGGCGCATGCACAAAGCTGACCTCATACGTCATCTGCCCGGAGCTGCTTCCGTGCACAACTGTTAGCTAGATTAAAGTGATTATTACGTTTTGAATATGGATATTTTTCTTACAAAAACGCATCGATTCGCTACAGGAGGCCTTTGTTCACCCCCCGGAGCCGTGTGAGACAATTTTTTTTATGGATGGGCGCTTTTTATTTAACTTCTTTTGGACTGATGCATGCAACACCCACTGAGTGGCATTAAACAGCTTGAAAGATCAAAGACCATTTTTAATATAACTCCGACTGGATTTGTCTGAAAGAAGAAAGTCATATACACCTAGGATGACTTGAGGGTGAGTCATTTATGGGCTAATTTTCATTTTTGGGTGAACTAACCCTTTAATAGGACTGACTCTGAAGAGTAGGGCTGCAGATAACTTGATAATCAATAATGAAAACATTTTATTTCTAGTTAGTTGCACTGTGTGCAGTAATTAATAAATAAATAAAAATGATGAATTCATTACATTTTACTTTGTGTTAGAATATGGTATACTCTGATATTATATTATATTGTACTTCAGAACATGAATTTAACATGAATTTAAATCAAAAGTAATGATCTGTTTTGAACATTGACTTAAATGGGATTGCTCAAATGTAAAAGGAAGACCCGTACATCATTATATCATTCTTTGATTATATAAACTGAGTATACTTAAATGCTGGGTTTATCACTATAGATTGTAACTTTAATTTAGTGCTTGTGTCATTCGTCTGGCTGACTCTGATTTTGTCGTGTCATTGCATTGGCTCTGGGTTTGGTTTAGATTGTCTCTAACCAGCTGGTGTAAATAAACCCAAAACTCCCCATGATCTTTGTCTTTGGAAAGAAGAGATGTTGCGGATCTGTAAAAGAAAAGGGGGAAAACATTCAGCGTTGTTTCCACTTGATTTTTTTAAGATGTTCTAGACCTTGATGAAAAGGTTGGTTACGGTCACAGCTGGTTGCTATCAAATTATAATGGCATGTCTTGCATTGAAAGAAAAGAAATGCTTTTCAGGTCTTTCAGGTTTAAATTTACTTTAAATTTCCATTTCCTTTTTTCCATTATCTTTCCTCTTTTCAATCCAGATCGAGAGGCACGATAACTGTGCGTATGACTACCTGGAGGTTCGAGATGGGAACTCAGAAAGCAGCCCGCTGTTGGGCAGATTCTGTGGTTATGACAAACCTGATGATATTAAATCCAGTTCCAACCAGATCTGGATGAAATTTGTGTCTGACGGTTCTGTCAACAAGGCTGGATTTGCTGCTAATTTCTTCAAAGGTGAGGTGGACTTTTTTGCTTTATGGTTTCACCTTGGATTTGATCTATGGAAATTGTATAGGAGTGATGATTGGCGTTATAGTTCAGAATTTAACATTATAGCTCAACAGTTTTGAAATTCATGAATGCACATAATATATTTGGCCAATAATCAACATGATGAAACATTTAAGGAAAGAAAAAGAGAATCCCTGATAATATTTTAGCACGAAACATCTCCTAAGATATTAGCATCGCTCCTTAAAGTACTGTAACTCAAGTTCTGATGTTCTTGTTGTTGCAGAAATGGACGAGTGCTCCAGACCCGACAACGGTCGCTGTGAGCAGCGCTGTGTCAACACGCTCGGTAGTTACAAGTGTGCCTGTGACCCTGGGTACGAACTGGCGGCAGACAAACGGAGTTGCGAGGGTTAGTATGTGAACAGTTCAGTGCTGGATACAGGCCAGTGCCATATTTAAACTGTTTATGGCAGCATCGAGGGAAAGCTGTACACTCTCAGAAAAGTCTGTCAAAATAGGGCCCAGTATTCTAATATAAAGTAATATAAATGGTAGTATAAACGGATTTTCCGTATTCATTTTTTATACATGTTTTACCCATATTTTAAATGATGCATTGCATTGTGTTGCGTTTTAAGCTTAAAGGAAATGTCCTTAAACTTAATGGATAATGTCCAGGCAGAAAATTACCTGTACACTTTCCATTTTTATATGGATTTGTCTTACAGTATACAAACAAATAACGCTAACTCTGTGTTTGGTAATAAAGGCAAGTTTTAGGGCAAAGATAATTTTCCTCATAAAGGATTAGTTCACCCCAAAATGAAATTCTGTCATTAATTACTCACCCTCATGTCGTTCCAAACTCGTAAGACCTTCGTTCATCTTCAGAACACAAATTAAGATATTTTTGATGGAATCTGAGAGCTCTATGACCCTCCATAGACAGCAACGCAACTGAAATGTTCCCAAGTCCAGAGACGTAGCAAGGACATCGTTAAAACAGTCCATGTGACATCAGTGGCTCAACTTCAATTTTGCGAAGCTACGAGAATACTTTTTGTGCACAAAGAAAACAAAAATGACGAATTTATACAACAATTCTTCTCCCCCGAGTTACTGTCTTCCGCCATTTTAGAGAGTATCACAATGCATACGCACGCTTTCCCCTAAGTGTAAACAACGCTGATAATGCAGATTACGTTCATGTGCGCGCTTTCCCCCCCTAACATAAACAACGCTGATTACGTTCTTGGGTGCTCTCCAAAATGGCAGAAGACATAACTCGGGGGAGAAGAATTGTTAAATAAATTGTTAGTTTTGTTTTCTTTGCACATAAAAAGTACTCTTGTAGCTTCGCAAAACTGAAGTTGAGCCACTGATGTCACATGGACTGTTTTAACGATGTTCTTACTATGTTTCTGGACTTGGGAACATTTCAGTTGCGTTGCTGTCTATGGAGGGTCAGAGAGGTCTCAGATTCCATCAAAAATATCTTAATTTGTGTTCCGAAGATGAACGTAGGTCTTACGAGTTTGGAACGACATGAGGGTGAGTAATTAATGACAGAATTTTCCTTTTTGGGTGAACTAACCCTTTAAGAAGTAAATGACAGGCTTTTGTGCTATCTGATTGTACAGCGGTTCTTGACAAAGACTTGCTGATCATCTCAAAGGCCAAGATGCGCTGCATGCAAATTAACATAATAATCAAAATCCTGATGAAAATTGTTGTAATTATAAAATGTAAAACATGGTCCGTTTTCGTAGTGTCGTTGTTGAATTTCAAATTTAGTAAAACGTCACATTACACATAATTGACCGATCTTTCTTTGCGTTAGTGATCAATGGTTTTTAGAGTATTCAAGTAGATTCCTACTAATAATGTATGCTATGTAGGTAATGTTATATTAGAAAGCTTAATATTTGAAACAACCCGAAAAATTAATTCAATAAATTCAATTTAACATCTTACCTATGGGAATTTAAGACAAGTTGAATGTTATACTAACGTTTAGAGCAGGGGTAGGCAACGTAGGTCCTGTAGTGCCGATGTCCTGCAGAGTTTAGCTCTAACCCTAATCAAACACACCTGAACAAGCTAATTAAGGTCTTCAGGATTAGTAAGGCTACAGGCAGGTGAGGTTTTTTCAGGGTTAGAGCTAAACTCTGCAGGACAATGGCACTCCATGTTGCCCACCCCTGATTTAGTTAGGTTATGTACAATGATTTTAAGGACATTCTTCTCAAGAATTCAAATTCTTCATACAATATTTTGTATATGTTTTAGTTAATTACTTTAGTTTAGCAGTTAAGAAGAATTTATTTTTTAAGAATGTTTCGTGAATCCACCTCCAAGGAAATCATTTTCTGTTTCTGATGAAACAGAAATTTCTGAGCCACTAATGTCATCACTCGGGATTGTAAAAATAAAGAAAGAAAGAAATTGATTTCCAGAACACTCCCCTTATCTTCTATTGGATAAACAACCAGATAGCCCCGCCCAAACTCACACATTGGTTGAACCAGTGTTTGCCAGGCTGGTCAGGGTTCTCAAACAAAAGTCACTTTGATAGTTTTGATAGCATATTTACACTTTTTGGGGGAATCAACCTACAAAATGCTTACCTATGCATATTAATCTGAGATAAAAGAAGCCTTTTAATATAAAAAATCACACTTTCCTTTAATTACTGAGTGCATGTTTTGAGCAGCCAGCTACACTCTTAAAAATAAAGGTGCTTCACGATGCTATAGAAGAACCTTTTTGTCTAAATGGTTCCATAAAGAACCTTTAACATCTGAAGAACCTTTCTGTTTCACAAAAGGTTCTTTGGGGCGAAAGAAGGTTCTTCAGGTTACAAAAAGGTAAGAAAGAGATGGTTCTTTAAAGAACCTTTGACTGAATGGTTCTTTGTGGAACCAAAAATGGTTCTTCTATGGCATCGCTTGAAGAACCTTTTGAAGCACCTTTATTTTTAAGAGTGTACACCGACCTCATTTTGCCTCTAGTGGACAGTCTGTGCAACTGCATCCTCTTAATTACTACTCCTGCTTGCGCTGTTGACATACCGCCGACATCTGTTTTGTGCTATTGGCTTGGGGCTGCCAGCAAGTTAAGAGCACCTTCCTCACATTGACAGCAGGCTCGCCTGGCTTTCTTTACCCTCCTCCGCACGACACTTACAAAGCGCTGCTCTGTTTTCTGAGCGGCTGGAAATTCTGCTGAAGTTTGAATCTGTTCATATCATATTCTTCTCAAACAAAGCGCTAAAAAACAGTTGGGGTTAAGGGTCAAAGCATTCTTAGGTACAGTGTTGTCTAACAGCTAGCGTCTCTCATTATATCGTCAGCTAATGACTGGATACATGAGGCAGTTGCTAGGACAGCACGTACCCTGCGGCTGCTATACTGAGCAAAAGTCTGTTTGTTCAGACATGCACTGAGATGACTCAATGGCTCAATCATGACAGACTGGAGCGATCAGAAAATGATTCTCCATTAGATAAAAGAAAGATTGGCCCAGCACAGCTTCCCGGTGGCTATCATCATATCAGCAGTAAATCCCACATTATCATAATGACTGTGCCGCTCGTTCTCACAGAACAGGTTTATTGCACGACGGTCCTGAGGGAACAGAGACGGATAGGGCTTAAATGTACATAAAGCTAAAACTTCAAGGCAAGGGCTGTCCAAAGGCTTCATGCGGGTAGCCATGGAAACATCTCTCCCTGAGCGCATGTTGAAATCGCTGTAGTAGGGGATCCGTTGGGTAATTTGGATCGTACCGCACGAAAGTAAACTACTCTGTCTTTCTGCTCGTGTTTGATTAGATACGAAGCCTGGGGTTGTTCCCTGTGTATTTCAATTAAAACAGGACCGTTCTTGTTATTTTATATGTAGCAGGTGCCCGTTTTGACAAACCACAAGCTGGTCAGCTTGATAAATTGAGAGTTTAAGAGTGCTTTGTAACCCAGGCATGTTGTGCATGAAATATGTAGCAGTTGTAGGGAGTTTTTAAGGGGCTGTGTTGAACATTTTTGCATAATTTGTTTTTACACTTCAAAAAAGTGCCAACATTGTACCTTGGGGTACAACAGCTTGTCACTGGGACATTAACTCAAAAGGACACTTTTGTACCATTTTTACCAACAAAAGGTGCATAATAGTACAATAAGAGTAGATATTAATACCTCAAAGGTACATATTACTACTCTGAAGTACTAATATGCACACTTTAGGGGTAAAAAAGTTACAAAGGTACAACAAAGGTAGAAAACAGTGAAAGTCAGGGGTGGAATTAAACCAGTAATCCAGGTTGCTTTTGCTAATTTACCTACTGTATAAGACTTCTGTATGTAAATTAGCTCTGTTATAATTGGATAATTGCTTTGTATGTGGGGGGAAAAAAGTGACAGCTCACACCAAAATGAAACTTCTGTCATCATTTACTTATTCAAGTTGTTCCAAGCCTGTATGACTTTCAGTCTTGTGTGAAACAAATTTTGAAAAATGTTTCAGTGTTGTTTTGCACATGCTACAGTGAAAGTCATTGGAGTCTGATGTTGTTTAGACACCATCAACCTTCATAACATCATCTTTAGTTGAGAAACGTTCCATTTTTGGGTGAACTACCCCTTTAAATATACTGTATAAACATAGTGGTAGAGATCAGGGGGGAAAAAAAGTATATTGTTGATGCATCATGATTCCTTCTCAAACAATTCATGATCGATCCACAGAAACAAAATAAACACACATGAGTGCCTTCAAATTAAGTTTAAATTTTTAAAGAAAACAACGACCCGACATTCTACATAATAAACTGTGTATAAAGAGAACGTAGAGGGAATTTCACAATAAGCCATCTTAAAATCAGCACAGAATGGAAAATTACCCTATCTTTTTCTAAATCTGTTATTTGAGGTTATTAGGAATGATTCATCCATGCACATGTTATTTTTTTGACCTTGTACTGATCAAAATGTCAAATCTTGATCTTCCAGTAAAATATATCTTGTCTTATCATTTAATCACTGCAAGCTCACATTCAGATCTGCTAGTCAATGAATAGAAACAAGTATCCACTTTTTTCTCTCGATAATCTGCTTCAATTACAATATGGAAGAATCTGCTGATACTTTAACTTTCAGATTAAAGCTCCTATGCTGTTACTGAAAAGGCTTGGGAATCAGATCATTTCAAGAAATGTTGTGTGTGGACTGAGGAGCTGAAGTATTTAGTATAATTTGACTTACAGTTCTTTTCTGTTGTCTTTTTCTCAGCTGCCTGTGGTGGTTTCATCACCAAGCTGAATGGGTCCATCACCAGTCCAGGCTGGCCCAAAGAGTATCCACCCAACAAGAACTGCATCTGGCAGCTGGTGGCGCCCACGCAGTACCGCATCACGCTGCTCTTCGACGTCTTCGAGACGGAGGGGAACGATGTGAGCACTAGGTTTTTGCCTCAGCGTGGGGTGGGTTTGTCTGGTTCATTTCAGCTCGATTGGTGTGAATCACCACAGGGCTTTAGGGACTGACTTCTCCAAATTGCCTTCACGTTTTCTCACTTGTTGATAGCTTACAGCAGTTTTGCCTGGTGCAGCTCACATGACGAATGCACTTATGATCTGTTTGTTAAGATAAAGGGTAGTTTTCTGGCTTCGTGCATGTTTATCACAAACACTCAGGTAGTTTATAACAGAGCTATCTTGTTAAAGAGTTGCCATCTGGTTTCCAGCCTGTCTTTTTATACTTCATTATTTTAAATTTCACAAACTTCAAAAGAAGCCGGTTATATTGCTTTAATATAACAGCAATGGCATTACATTAGTGCTAAGGAAGGAGTAATTTTGAGAAAGAAAATGAGGCTGTTGGCTCAGGCTGGGTTTTTTAAATAGCTGTTAGTCCTCTAAATTAGACGACACACTAAGACATGTTTGAAGCAGCTGTATGTTTTCCTGAGCATTTTATAGCTTTTGCCTTAATAGCGTACCATATAATTGCTGGATAAAGCTAGGAATGATTTGGGTTCATATAGGTTCTGCATCAGTGACATGTTGCCAATTACCACAGTAAGTAATTATGACCACAAAAAACGAATCTGTCTGCAATAATGGATTTAAATTGAAAGTGTACAGGTCACAAACCTGGTTTTTGTTTACATAATAAATATACACAGTACACATACATATATTATGTATATATAAATACACACACATACAGTATATATTTTGAAAATATTTTAAATGTATATACATTTATATATTTATATTCTTATATTTTATACTATATATAAATATATTTAATATATAAAAATAACATTTTTCTTAAATATATGCATGCATGTATTTGAATATATATATTCACAATACACACACATATTATGTAAGCAAAATCTTTTATTTTTGATGCATTTGACAGCACTAATATATATATATATATATACATACAAATAACACACTGAATTAAACAAGACATTTTGAAGTAGAAAGTCTGAAATTGTATTTTCTTATAAAACGTACTCCAATAATCTTTGTCTGATTTACAGCTTCGAAAAATATTTTTCTATGTAGTGTATATATAGCAAAAACAGCTGTCCTTAATAGTACTTGTTTACATTAAAATTGTACAAATTACACTTACCAGATGAATTTTAAAAGGTGGTTGTTTAAAAGTTGTAATGAAAAAGTGCAAAGTAAAATTTTCTTGATCTATTATTTATTTTTAGTTATTTTAGTGGAGAAGTTAAACATCCTGGGATCTGGACAGGCCCAAAATAGTAGTCTTCTAGCAAATTTGACATTTTCAACATTTTTAAATTCATTAAAGTAGCACAATACAAAGTGTAATACTTTTATAATTTCTCTCATTAAACTAGAATGATGTTCTTTTTTTTTTTTTTAATCGTCGTAGGGGACAAAGAAACTCTGTGTGTTACTGATATCTGGTGTTTTGTTCTCACAGATAAAGACGAGTGCTCTAAGGAGAACGGCGGATGTCAGCATGAATGTGTGAACACCTTTGGCAGCTACAGTTGTCAGTGCAGAAGTGGCTTCATTCTGCATGAAAACAAACATGACTGCAAGGAAGGTGAGAAACACACACATGCGCTTAAATGTTAATATACACTGAGACGGTGTTCCTTTGAAGCAATAGGTCATGATAGTGCATGTAAACCATGCCATATTGTTATGTAAAATGGTAGCAATATGATAAAATACACCTATGTTCAGTAAGTGATGAAATATGTTATTAAATGGATAACTCATCCAAAAATCATTTACTCACCCTCATATTGTTCCAAACATGTGTGACATTTATCTTGTGTGAAACACAAAAGGAGATATGATGAAGAATGTTCATGCTGCTCTTTTCCATACAATGATAGCTCATTGTGAATACAGCTATCAAGATTCAAAAAGGACAAATAAGCACTGTAAATGTACCATAAATATGACGACATGACAATATAAGCTTCTTCTGAAGCAATATGATAGTTTTTTGAGGAACAAACTGAAAACTAATCATTTAATCCTTTAAAAATCTTTCCTTGAAGTAGCTCTCAAATCTCGTTCTTAATTCCACACATTCAAACTGCAGCACGTTCAATAATGATGCACACAAAATCCAATGGCATTTTGAGATTTTAGCGCTTCGAGCAACATGAGGAGAGTAAATATTGACAGAATTGTCATTTTTGCATGAACAATCTCTTTACTTTTGATAGGTTGATAGATAAATATATTAGCTTTGACTATGTTTCCAGTCAGAGCTGAAACTCTATTTTATAAAGAAAGAAAAGACACAACCCTAGATTAGTTAGCCCATGTTAGCAAAAATTATCTGTAAATTGCTTTAGGTTAGGTTTTGGCAAGTGTTTTACCAAATATATCAGAATTACGTGCTGTATGCCTGGAAGGTCACTGCACGAACAGCAGTCTGGTTGTTTTATTTTCCCTATTAGCGCACGACTTTCTCAGAAACCTTCACCATCGATTTCAGCTCACTGACACTAACTAGAGTCTGGATATTTTTAGAGAACGCCTTCCTCTTGCGGGCAGAAATAGAAAGAGAGTGGCAGTGCTTGGGAGAACGAAAGAAAATGTTGTTTGAGGAGGTTAGGAAATGCATGGATCTGTGAGCCAAAAACAACACTGATTCTTGTTGTCTGGAGTTTGAACATTGCTCATGTGATGAGTGTGAGCATGAGGCTGTTTGTATGTGTATTTGAGTGCTAGACGTCACGTGTTATTGGTATCTCTTTCAGCCGGCTGTGATCACGTTGTGAACAGTGTGAGCGGGACCATCACCAGCCCCAACTGGCCAGATAAATACCCCAGTAAGAAGGCCTGCACCTGGGCCCTCTCCACCACCCCGGGACATCGGATCAAAATAGTATGTAATAGTACATCCCCTCTCCATCCATATTTACCATCGTTGGGTAATGTACAGTCCAGACGGTCATTAGTTCAAAACCAAACCCTGCAGAGTGAGCTTGACCCCAGCATGAAGCCTTGCATCACCCTGAAGGGGTTTATTTTGCGGTAAAGACCAGCTGACTGTACATTATTCACTAATTACATGGCTGTAAATAAATGAAATT